GGCCCATGCGTAGGTGCAGCAAATCTGCCGTCACCTGCTCGACGTCCCTCCAACGGGTGCTACAAGCGGCTTCCTCGGCTTCAACACCATGTGCCCTCTCCACCTGAGGCACACAAACTGGAACAAGGTATAGACCCTTCTCTAACTTGGCCTCCATCACCACAGCTCCACCCTTGCAAACCGTGCACCCAGCCATTGTGAAGGTGCATATGTATTCTTGCCTCGCAAGCTGAGAGCATGAGGGAAGGCTGGCTGCCAATCCAGGAACATGAAGCATACCCTTCACAATCAGCACCCCCCCACCCCTTCCCCTTAACGGTGATGGTGCCAATGCCGATTGCTTACAGCGTATCTCCGCTCCCCACAATCACATTTCTGGAGTTAGGTGGGAGGGAGTGATAGGTGGTGAAGAGGTTGCGCCGATGTACCATTCCACAGGTTGCCCCAGAGTCTAGAATGAGTTGATTGGGGTCAGCCAACACACGACCAGCAAGCCCCGTCTCCTTCTCCAAGGATAAGAAGGAGAAGCCATCATCCAATGAGACTTCCTTTCCCTTCTTATCATCGTTTGCCACCGCTGCTGCCGCTTTCTCTTTGCTGCCCTTCTTGTTCCATGCTCCATTCTTCATCCTCCTCTCTACCCACTCAGGCCTAGTGACAGGTGGAGCCTCTCCTGGGTACCCTTGAGGCTTCCACCCATTTGATCGGCTCCAACACTCCTTCCAATAGTGCTTCCGGTTGCATCCAGGGACGAGGCACTTGTCCAGCTCCTTTTTCTTCCCCCCACCCCCTTGCCGCTGATGATACTTCTTGAAGGCAGCCCTATCACCTGCCCACATTCTCCCTTCAACTCCTATACCAGCATCACGTTTGCGAGCTTCATCAGAAACCAAAACCTCCCATATCCACACCCTGGTCCATTTCTGCTGCTCAAGGTGAAGGTACTGCAGTGGGGCCTCGTTCGCCTCTTGGTCCAGCCCCTGGAGTGCGGTGTAGATCAACTCCTTCTTATCTACTTTGTAGTTCAACTCCTTCAAGGCCCTCATATACTCATCCACCCTCTGGAGAAACTGCACCATGGTCTCTCCATCACCATAGTTGCGTTCCATAGAGTAGAACCGCTTCCTCCAGGTGAGTATGCTTAGCAACCCTTTTTGCAAATGTCGATCTTGAACTCTCTTCCATGCTTGGGCAGCTGCTCCTTGCTTCCCCTTCAGGTCATTCAGCATCTTTAGTTGCTTTAGTTGGCCTTCCGAAGCCTAACACAGGTACTGGAACGCTTGCTTGTCCTTGCAGTCCCATGCTTCCTGTGCCTTAGTAGCTCCTCCACACTAAGCCGTTGCCTTTCGGTTCGCGATGCTGCTGTTCCACCTCCGCTTCCCTCACTTATAGATGAGCTAGAGGCTCCCCCAGCATCTGCTCCCACTTGGATAGACACTTCAGCAGATGCCTCTGCTTCATCAGCTCCATGTCTTCGCTCCGATCCCTCCAAAACGAGTTCGAGGACTTAGATACCTAGCCAAAACGTAAACTGGAAACGCCATAGCGAAAAATCCGAGCCGGTGAACCTAGGAGGGCCATCTAATTTCTGGGCCATGACCAACCCTAGATCTGGAGTACTTACCAATTCGAAATATGTTGAAAAGAGGGAATGTCGCAGGCCTAACCAGCTTTGATACTGTTGATGGAAAGCGAGCTAATCTGGAGAGTGTACAAGAAATTAAGTCCGCCGACTTCGACGGAACATTGCGTGCAGCTCACGTAACCTTGAACTATTAACAGGTACGCGTTGGAACGGTCTTATTCTCTATTTTCCAAAGTGGTAACGCACGCCTTCAACCAAGATCTAGGCCGATCACTATCGCAATTTAAGTGCGAGGGGGTGTCCTGGCGGAATTACTTGGCAGCCATGGATTAGATCTAGGAATGCCTTTAGCAAGAGTTCAGATCAGTAAGGTGACGAGTTGGTCAAACCCTACCAACCCAACCCTCGCCCTACAACAATCCCTAACAACCCAAAGTGCCAAACTAGCAACACTGAAGGTGCTGTAGAGATTAGCAAAGGTTTGTTGGTGCTTGTTGGGTGCGAGATCAATTCCAGCCCGCAACAAGTCTAGCCACCACATCTTGCCCAAACCCTTAGCCCACAACCAGCTAGAGCAAAATACCACAACCACCTACACAATCAACAATCCCCTTTGCTCGTGCTGGAGGTGGCTAAACACCACTGGGAAAAATCCTTCACTCCACTCCCCCTTTCCCAAGGAGGGGCGTCATCCGCACCATGATGTCATCCACATCCTGCTTAGGCACCATGTCAACATGGGGCTGCATCCCCATCAAGGACATGCACATACCGTGTCGCTCAAAGGGAAGGGGTTTGGTGAGTATGTCTGCTGCTTGACGGTTGGTTGGGCACCACCGGAGGATCACCTCGCCGCTTGCCACCATCTCCCTGATCAAATGCCACCGAACATGCATGTGCTTGGTGCCGCCATGCAAGCATGCATTCTATGCAAGGGCAATGGCAGACTTGTTGTCCACAAACACTGGCACACCACTAGCAAACTCATGCCCAAACTCCCCAAACAAACGCTTCAGCCACACACCCTAAACCCTATCAATTAGAGGATGAGCATTGACGGCTCTAGCTACGCAAGAAGACCTCCCGATCCCCCTGGACCTCGTTCTGAGTATTTGTTCACCTTAGACGATCACCATGGGCATATACCTGCTCAGACACAAAGATCACATTGCAAAGCAATGGCATCAATCCAGAACAAGTTCTTGACCATTGACCAGAACATATTATACATTTGGAGCTTCGAATTCGAGCTCCTCGCTCAACGCGCTCAGACCTGGATATACGATGACGGTACATTACCTTTCCCAAGTTACAGCTCACCTCAGGAGAAGGCACAGCGTTACAACGAGTCGTTACTCACCTGATGAACGAAATTGAAGTTACCGTCTCCAACAATCACACGATTTGGGCAAAACGTTGCGGCGATACAACTTGAATCCTATGACATCAACTTCTCGATTCACATCAGCAACGTCCTCGTTGCCCCAAACCTTCGCTTCAACCTTCTCTCCGCTGCCAAACTAATGAAGTGCGGAGTCGAGCTACAATTGACACGAGATGGAAGTTCACTTATTTTACGAAGGCTCCCTCATCGGAAAGGCGAAGAACGAGAACCGTGCGTTTGTTTTGAACTTTTGCATACCTGGGACAGTTGGTGATGTAGACTCCATGATCGTCTTAAAAATCGCGGGACACCGCTCGCCGCCCAGATGGACGCACCCACAACAAACAGACTCACCGTACCCGTTGAATCTACTTCAACCCCTAGAGACATGAACAGAAACAGAAGAAATGAGGTAGGTTGGGGTTGGGACCAAGAAAGCAATTGGCCAAAGTTGGAACAACTTACGGGCTGGGATGTGGCAGACGTCGAATGGGCGATGCGCGGAACTGGTTGGGGACCTTTGGCCTGATGAAGGATGGGGTGCATTTCCTCAACAACCTGCAATCATGGAGGAATATGAGCTAGAGGTTACAGAAGTGGAAGCACAAGAAGACATTGTTGTCTAAGTTATAGAACATACAATAGAGTTACCTGCTCCTGAGGAAGAAACACGCCCCAGTTTGGATCGCACCTCATCCCATTCACCACTGACGGAAGCAGTTGTTACTGTCTCGACACAAGGGAGGCACCAATCAGCGCCACAACTGGAGAAATCACTGTTGGTCAATCTGAAGAAGAAAATCACGCCTTAGGCGAAGCTCCAGAACCCTACCAAGGCCCGCATCTGCTCCCCATGGCATCCGACACGAGAACCTTCGGCTATTCTGATTGCGTATTACGCGGAACAAGACTTGAGACTCTCCAAGCAGCAGCCAATAAAGTCTTCGATACCGATGCTCCTGCAGACTGTACAAGAAGCACAACAAAGGCAGATAGGTTAGCTAAGGATTAACGGTTATATGTGCGAATACGCGCACATTGTGCAGAAGCTGGCATATGGCACTAGCGCCTTGGAAACCCATCTGTCAAAACACTCAACAACGCAACAAACGCTGGAGTGTTTACGCAAGACGTGCTACTGCTGTGTCAGAAACCTCCTATCCCTCACTCCCCATACTCCATATTCACTTCTGGCCTTACTCACCTGAGCAAACCTCCCTCTTTATTGACCGTTCCCTGCTTCTTCCTTCGCACTTCCTTTGTGCTGCTCATCTTGCTGGCTTCCCTTCACCTTCTTCCCTTAGCTCTTCCTACCCCACTTTCCCTTTCCCTTATCACGTGGTACTCTGATGTAACTCACCTTCCAAGCTCAAACCATTATGCAGATTGTAATGGCCTTGTCAAAAACTGCTTATCTTTAGAGAAAATGTCTTGGCAAAAGGAAGAACATACAAACAGTGGCAGCCCCATGGCCCATTCCTCCTATTCTACCTCCTCCTATCCTTGGTTAGAGGCTAGCCTATGAGTAGACAAGCTAGAACCTAATACAAGGCCACCTAAATTTGCTCCTTCCTTCCTCCAGCTGCTCGGCGACCTCTACCAGCTGGCTTTAAACTCGATGTCTGCAAGGAGCAAGAAACAAACAAGCATGCATACAACATTTGCATATCCTTTGCACCCCCACCTTGCGCGCCTCCCATTCTGCATTATTACTGCCCCACCGATTCGTTACTCCCTTCCCCTTTCCTGAAGTTACCACCTGTCTCTTTTCAGCTCCTGTCAGCTAGGCAACTCCCTCCCCTTTTCGCTTCATTTCATCCCTTGAGCCTTCAAAAACGTATCCCCGATATATACAAATGTACAAATGATGTCAACACATCCTTTACCTGTTGTGTTTTGTCTAGTCTAGGTGTTACTTTATGTTTCTAAAGGGTAGGGTTATGTTTGCCATATCTTGCTTGTTTCTTCCCTTAATCATGCTCAGGTTACTTCTTTGACATGGTATCGAGCTGTTAAGATCCTAGACCTAAGTTAATTGGGCCCCGCCCCCTGCTGCTCGTAGACCCGCCCATCGATCGTCTTTTTTCCATGGCGTGCGTGGCCCATGGCGAGCATGCCCACAAAACCGCCGACGGACCCACTAGCGCGCTTGTCTGCAAGTCCGCTAGAGGACCCGCCAGCGCGAGCGTCAGAAAGCCCGCAAGCGGACCCGCCAGCGCGCGCATCAGCAAGCCCGTCGACGGACCCACCTGCGCGCGAGTCAACAGGCCCGCCGATCAAACCGTCGACGGACTCGTCACCGTGCCCGCCAATGGACTCGCCAGCGAATCCGCCGACGGACCCGCCAACGAGTCCGCCAGTGAACCCGCCAACAAGTGGACCCGTGAGCCCGCCAGTAAGCAAGCCGACAGACCTTCGTGAATGTGGAGGTGGTGTGGAAGGAGTGGCCGTCGTGACCCCCTTGCGCTTCCTCACCTGTCCCGCCCCTGTGCGTTTGCAGCGGCAGTCGCTGTGTGGGGGAGGAAAGGGGGAAGGGGGTGACGGGGGACGTCCGCCAGCCACAGCCGCACTGCCGGCCGTCCCTCCATCCCTCCCCCCTCTTCCGTCGCCTTTCCTTCCGCGAATGTGGGAGTGGGGGGGGAGGTGGCGTGGAGGGGGTGGCCGCGTGAGCCCTTGCAGCCCCACCCTCTGCCCTGCCTCTCCCCTCCTGCGGCTACTGCCGTGGTGGGGAGGTGGCGGGGACGAGGGGTGGGGGAGAGGTCTGGCCGCTATGTGAATGGCACTGCAGGGACTACCGTGGGTGGGGAAGGGTCTGGAGGAAGGAAGGGGGGGAGGGAGTGAGGTTTCAGGGGGGTGGCTGATACGGGGGGTGAGGTTAAGGGGGGTGGTTGATTGGGGGTGGGGATGTGTGGGTTAGTAAAAGGAGATCGCCGCGGCTACCCCCCCACCTCCTCTCCTCATCTTTCACTCACCTCCCACTTTGTAGAAGGGGGTTAGTAAGAGGGGATCGCCGCGCTACCCCCCCATCTCCTCTCCTCATCCCTCACTCACCTCCTCCTTTGTTCTTACCTCCTCTCCTCTCCTTTCTCTCTCTCACCTCATCCTTCTCACTTACCTCTCTGCCGTCTTAGACTGCGCCAGGCTTACCCCTTCAGGAAGTGTTGACAGCACTAGTTCCTACTTCAAGTAGGCTAAGGGGGCGCGATAAAGTTCTATTTGGTATTGATCCTGCTTGCTAGTTACTGTAGTGTTTGTACCTCTTGTTGGTGGTGTACCACCTCCTAGTCATTTCTCTCGACCCTTGCTCTTGCCACCCTCGTCACCCGCTTGACCTAGGCTTCTAAGCCTAGGCCCCTTTGAACCGGGTTCCTAGCTTATATTCGTCTCGGGCCCACCGTCCCGTACTCGCTCGTTGTAACCCGTTTCCCGTAGCGCCCCATCGATTTTCGTGCCCCGTATCTAGGATCCCGCTGCCCGAGCGCGCCACGACTTTGTAAGGGCCCTGTGGGCCCATGAAATCGTCCTAGAACGACCCCCACGGGTCCCCCTTCCCTCTTCCTCGTCGTCGCGACCTAGGCGCGCACGCGCACACGCACGCTAAGAATGGCCCCCTGCGGGCCCGCTAGATCACCTCCCCGTCCCCTTTCCCGTCGCCTCCCTGACCCCTTTTTCCGTCGCCTCCCGTCACCTCCCGCCTCCTTTCACGTCGCCTCCCCGTCGCCAGCCCATCCCCTCCCCGTCGCCTCCATGTCCCCATCCCGTCGCCTCCCCCTTCCCTCCCGACCGATTTCCCATCCCCTCCCCATCCTGTACCCGCCGCCCCACCCTGTAACCGCCGCCCCACCCTGAACCCGCCGCCGCACCCTGTAACTGTCGCCCCACCCTGAACCCGCCGCCGCACCTTGAACCCGCTGCCCCACCCTGAACCCGCCGCCCCACGCTGTACCCGCCGCCCCACCCTGTAACCGCCGCCCCACCCTGAACCCGCCACCTCACCCTGAACCCGGCGCCCCACCCTGAACCCGCCGCCCCACCCTGTACCCGCCACCCCACCCTGTAACCACCACCTCACCCTGTACCTGCCGCCCCAGCTGACCGCTCCCCACCACTCTTGACCGCTTCCCACCACTCAAGGCCTACTAGAACTGCTCCCTACCGCACTAGACCCCCTCTCAACCGCACTCAACTGCACTGAACAGCTTCCAGCCACGCTCAACTGCTTCCAGCCACGCTCAACCGCACTGGACCGCGCTAGACCGTACCTGTATCCATACCCGTTACCCACTACTAGTACCCGTACCCGTCTTCCCTACCCGTACCCACTACCAGTACTGGCCACCCGTACCAGTACCTCACTAGCTACACGTCCCTACGTCATGTTCTACCATCTCTTTTTCCCGAGCTGTCCTCTTTTGACCATTTCTGATCTCATTCTGCACATGCGCTCGCTCAACGCTGGGCTTCGTGCTGCTGCCCCGGACCAGTCCTTGCTTGCTACCATGCCACCTGCGACCTGGATGACAGTGTACCTCCTCGTCACCCGCCTCCCTGACCGCTTTGCCTCCGCTCGTGACCACTTTCTCACTATCAACCCTATGACGAGGAACATGCCCGCTCCCTTGCTGCTGCGACCAGTACGGTCCTCCCCCCTATCTTTCAGGGGTGTGCCCCCTCCTTCCTTGCCTCCCCTCTAGCCACTGCCTCTATTGATACTGCGACAGGGATTGTAGCAGTTGCATCTGGCAACAAGGGGGGCAAGAAGGGTGTCAAGAAAGGAGGAGGTGGTGGTGGCAGTGGGGGAGGCAGTGGGGGGTGGTTGAGGAAGGGGTGGAGTGGGTGGAGGTGGCAGTGGAGGAGGAGGTAGTAGAGGAGGCGGTAGTGGAGGAGGATTCAGTGGAGGAGGAGGTAGTGTGGAGCCCCAGCAGCAGCAGCAGCCACAGCAGCATCAGCAGCAGCTGCAGACGCAGCCACAGCAGCAGCAGCAGCAGGAGCAGTCTCAGTCGCAGCGTCAGGAGAGAGTAGAGGAGTCGCAGCCCGAGCAGGAGAGAATAGAAGAGGAGTCACGACTGCAGCAGCAGGGGCAGTTGCAGCTGCAGCAGGAGAGAGTAGAGGAGGATTCACGACCGCATTAGGAGAGGGTAGAGCAGGAGTTCCGACCACAACAGCAGGTGCAGCTGCAGCCGCAGAAGGAGAGGGCAGAGGTTGAGCGATACCCGGAGCCACCGGACCAACAGCAGGGGCACGTGCCGCCGCAGCAGACGCTTGAGGAGGCGGAGCAGCAGCGACTACGCGACCTGCCCGACCCTGCACCTGCACATTGGGTTCGTGGTCTCCTACCGCCCCCTCCTTCTCCCCCTATTCAGTCCCTTTCCTCTTCTTTGTAGGCTCGCCGTGCTCCCCTCAGTCGTGCTATGTCCCCAGAGCCTCGTCGGTCTCGTTGCCGTGCAGATGGCCTGTTTCACCTTGTTCTCCGCTCTCGTGTTCCACCTCCTCTAGTCCTCCCGTAGCCTCCTGAGTCATCCCTCACTGTGTTTCACGACCCGTTGTCCGACTACCTCCGTGTATCCCGTCCTGTTGTCTCCCATGTTGTGTCTGCATTGGTCACTCAACCAATTGCCCCTCCGCTGTCTGTCTCGGCCCTTGTCACTATTGTCAGTGCCTTTGCGTCTTCTCACCACCTAGACATCGCCGCCCACCTGGTCAGCAGCCTTGCTCTTTCTCTATGCCCTAGGGGTGCTCCTGTTTTTCCCCTGGAGGTCTTGGAGGACCGGCAGTTTGAGCTTCGTTTCCTTGCGGCCGTTGTTCCTCATCTCTGCGCCATGCTGCTTGCCCATGAAGGGGATCAAGACGCCTTAGACATCCCAATCCCTTGCACACACGCCAAGGCGGTCTCGGGCCCTTGGGCCTTGTACTGGATAGCAACTGAGGAGGCAGAGATGGCATGTTATAGGTGCACATGCACCTACGTCGACGCCGTCCCACCACCCGGGGCTCTACAAGGTTAAACGTCCGCTGGTGTTCAACTGGTGTTCAAGGCGCGCTACGTGGCAAGAGGCTTCAGTCAGCGGAAGGGGGTAGACTTCTTCCAGACCTTCGCTCCCACCCTGAAGATGACCACTCTTCGGGTGTTGCTGCATATTGCAGCTCAGCACGACTACGAGTTGCACTCCTTGGACTTCTCCACAGCGTTCCTTCAAGGGAACCTGCACGGGCAGATCCGGCTGCATTGCCCGCCTATCTTCACTTAATCTTTCCCTGCTGGGACCTAGTGGCAGTTGCGTCGACCGGTCTACGACCTGCGCCAGGCTCTCCGTGAGTGCACGACACACTTCGCACGACTCTTGCAGCGCTTGACTTCTTCCCGTCGTCTGCTGACCCGTCGCCCTTCGTCAACCGCAACTCGACCCCGTTCTTTGTTCTGGTTTACGTTGATGACCTGGTTTTCGCCACTACCGACTGACGCGCACTGGCCTCAGTGAAGGAGGAACTGCAGAGGAGACACAGTTGCACTAAGCTTGGTGAGCTGCACTACCTTGGCCTGCAGATCACTATGGACAGGGCAGCTCGCACCATTACGCTTACGCAGTTGCATATGGTCGAGCAGATCCTCAAGCGGTTTCGCTTCCCGTTTTTTAAGGTACACCTCACCCCTCTTGTTGTGGATGATGGGCTTACGGCTCCACCTTCGGACGAGCCATTTGAGTCCAGTGGTCCATATCCTGAGTTGGTGGGTTGTCTCATGTACTTGATGACCTGTACTCGCCCTGACTTGGCCTTCCCTCTTAGCGTCCTTGCGCAATTTGTTGCGTCGAAGAGACACTGACCTTCTCACTGGTTGTTAGCTAAGAGAATGGCGAAATATATGGCGAGCACATCACGCATTGCTAGCGACTAAGGACGGAGTCTAGGAAGATTAGGGGCCGAAATATCACAAATCGTTGGACTAAAATTCTGGACAGAAACGTGGATTTCACAAGAAACGCCGTCGACAAAACGTTCAATATTAAGAATTGACCAAACCCATATATGTTGTACCCCTAGACCGTGGCTACAGATGCCAATTTGAATCGTACGGAAAGGTGAAGTACAATTGGAGTTATGAATTTCGGCCCACTAGGGGGTATGCTGCCATAGAAACTTAACTCAATCACAATATTCTCCCAAGAACCACACAAGAGAATTAGAGTAGCAATCAACCAGGTAGGAGGGAAGAGGAGTAGGAGAGAGAAGGTCCCCAAGGAGTTCCCAACCAAGGAAATCCCATAAGCTCACAATTTCCCTCTCTATAGGAACCCAACTCTCACCCTTGTCATTTGCCCAACCCATGCCATCCACCTCACCCAACTTGGCCACACTTGCCAACCTGGTTTGGCTTCCCCCAACCACTTGGCATCATCTATAGTGATGGGGACGAATTTCCCAACTTCCAAAAATCTGTACCCCATATAGAGTCACTCCACGACTTCCCAAAGTCGTCGCATCACAATCAAAGCTTCGAACGATCATAACTTTCTCGTCCTTGCTCCGATCACGACGTTTCTTGGTTCGTCAGAAAGCTCTCGAGAAAAGAAGTCATTTCAGATATCTGATAGGAAAAAAAAAACATTCACACAAAATCAGAGATTACAAACCACACCGAACACAAATTATTGCAAACGCTCACACCACGCACGCATCGCACAAACGTATGATGGGAGGCAGACAGACGTGAATGCAAATGATAGCATCACATAACAAACTCCCCCTCTGGCTGCGAACCATCATCCCACATGCCATGGCTCAAGCATGCACCCTCAATGCACACTCATTCCAGCTAGCTTCATGCCCTTCCAATGCTCAGGTTCAGCCAGGCACTTGGTGAGAACGTCAGCCGCCTGCTGATCGGTCTTCACAATCTCCAGTCGCACCTCCTTGTCTAGGAACCTCCTCACCCAATGCCACTTAGGCCTGATGTGCTTTGTTAGCCCATGAAGGAAAGCGTTCTTCGCAAGCTTCACAGCTGACTCATTGTCACAGAAAATCACAGCCGGCTCCTTCTGGCACATTCCGATCTCCTCCAACAAGCGCCTCTGCCACACCACCTCCTTTGCTCCATGATGCAGGGCCATGTAATCTGCCTCACACGAGGACAGCCCCACCTCATTCTGCTTCTTGCTGTGCCCGCTCACTGCACCTCCTCCAAACAGGCACACATAACTTCCAATGTTGGTGCCATCCGCCTTCTCAGAGTTGAAGCTTGCGTCAGTGTAGCAAGTCAAGAGCATCTCCCCTTTGCCCAAATCAGCAGCACCCCGCTGCTGCCTTTGCCTCACAGCAGCGTACTCCAAACCCACTGATGCTGTCGCACTCATTGCGGACCAACCTCTTGGCCGCTTCCAGCTGCTCATGACTGGGGCATGAAACCTGAAGGTAGTGGGGTGGCTGGCTTTCCTCCATCTTG